GGCACATCCTGAACTGGGCCTTTTAAGTAGGTGCCAAGCTGCAGAGCTGCTCTCTTTCCTTGCTAACTATCTGTTGAAGGACATTCTGGGACTTGGAGACCCCAGGGCTATATGACAAGGAAGGGACAGGACGGTACCTACACTCCGTTCCCTCAGAGCAGAGAGAGACCTGGAGAGCAGCTTCTACCTCTTCTTGTGGAAGGGGTGGCAAATGAGGCCTGAAAGTCTAGCTGCTAGGCAAGAACCGGGACTTCCTAGGCTCTGTGATGAGGGGAAGAATGAAGACAAATAGTTGAGAAAGGAGGAAACAGCTTCTTCACTGGGCAGAGCTGGAGCTCACAATGAAGGCAGAGTACAGTAACCCCTACAGCTCTGCTGGGCTATCCTGAGGTGAGAGTTAATCAATACTCATCTGAGCAAGAGGGGAAGAGTACCCAGACCTAGGCTATGTCTAGACTGCAAGCCTCTTTCAAAAGAGGCTTTTTCGAAAGATACTTTCGAAAAAGCCTCTTTCGAAAGAGAGCGTCTAGACTGCACACGGAACTTTCGAAAAAGCAAGCTGCTTTTTCAAAAGAAAGCAGCAAGTGAGTCTGGATGCTCTCTTTCTAAAAAGCCCTGTTTGCTTTCAAGAATGCCTTTTTTCGAAAGAGCACTTTAGAAAAAAGGCGTTCTTCCTCGTGAAATGAGGTTTACTGCCGTTGAAAGAAAAGCCGCGTGCTTTCAATTTAATTTCGAAAGAACGCGGCTGCAGTCTAGACGCAGGTGAAGTTTTTTCGAAAAAAGGCTACTTTTTTCGAAAAATCCCTGAGTCTGGACACAGCCCTAGAGAGGTAACTGGGGTCTGGAAAATGGGAAGGGCTACTTACCCCGTGCTTTGGGGACTGCTGCGTTGTTCCAATGATTCACTAGGTACCTATGTTCCTTGATTAATCCAGCAGGCCTTATCCCCTCTGTGGCTCAGTTCCTCAGCTTCAAAACTGAGATATTACCACTTTCCTACCTGCATTGGAAGGATGCGTTCACTAAAGATGGGTGTGTGCTGACACTACAGTATTGGAGGCCATATAACCACCTAAGATAGAAAAGGATTGAGGGACAGTATAGTTCAGGTGAGGCCTGTAGCCTGCCAAGCTATATCTTTTCCTATTCTATCCCTTTTTCTGTATTTTAATAGAAATGCCAGTAATGCCAGGCCTGCAGGACTTGAGTTAGCCTGTATGAGTTGGCTTTAGCAGTAGTATCATGTGATGTCAGGGTTAATCATCTTCTAGAAATGATATATGTTCTTAATATCTTTTTAGAAATTAAGGAAGACCTTGTGGCGAAATTTTCAGTTGGGTCAGTACACAGATGGGGTCTAGTCAGATTGGCGAGCCTTACCCACATATATTCTAATAAACTTCTCCTCCAGGCTACAGGACATAGATGTTAACTGCTGAAGTATCCCAAAGCTGTGTGCTAACCATAACTAGGCCCTTGTACAGGTGTACAGTGTGGGGAGGAGAAAGTTCAAGGAACTTCCTTCTACCGTGTGCACGCTGCATTAGTGCCAGAGAAAACCTTCAATCACAAGGATGTTTCAATCTGTGGGCCCCCAGAGGTGGAAACCATGCCAAACATTAGCACCAACTTCCTCTGAGCCCAGATCCTACCCCTACCTCATCCCATCCCCCAGCTCTTTTCCCCTGTCCTGCCTCTTCCTCTCTCCTCTTCACTCCTCCTCCTCCCTCCCAGAGCCTCTTGCATGCTAGGAAACAGCTGATTGTGGAAGGAAGGAGGAGCGGGGCGGTAGGGGGTGGAGTTAATCATTGGGGGCCACTGGCAAGCAGAAGGTGCTGTGGGGTAAGGGACCTGGTTTCCATACTGTGCTAAGTACCCACTATTTTTTCCCATGGATGCTGTAGCCCCAGAGAACCCATGGAGTCAGCACCTGTGATCCCAACCCAAACTGAGGTAGGACAAGCCATGACCCTCCCTACACACTGGCCTATGAAACTGACTGGTCACAAACAAGAGAACGTGCCACTGAGCCATTCGAAGGCAGGAGAGCCGTAGGGATAGACTAAATCTTAGCTCCCCTAGGCTGATGTGGCTCAGCATCCAGTGCAGGACAATGGCTAATGTATCACAGTCCCTATATGTAGTGATCACATCCCCCACCCCTGCAGCACAGCAATGGTTTCAGTGTACAGCAGCAGGCCACAACAGGGCTGTGCTACGATCTCAAGTTGCAGGGGCATTTGATGGTAGAAGGTCATTCCCCACACTGAAATGAAGCCAAGAGCTGACACTAGTGAGAAGCTTTCAGGACCTTGGTTTGGCATCTCTTATGGAAAGGGGCACCATGGAGCTGACGTTCTGTTTCATCTGTGACAGAGACTAGCCTGCCATTGACTCACCGCCAACTTCCACGGGTGCAGTGTTTCCCAGCGGGGTTCCTTACCGGTCTGACCCTTGAAGCACCGAGCTGGCCCGGCCTAACCTTAAGCAGCTGATGAGATCTGACGGGATCACGGAACTGGCTGCCTGCCCGGGGAGGCATCACTCCTTCTACTAGACAACATGCAAACTCAGCTCAGTATAATGTGTGCTACACGCTATCCAAATCAGTAGCGAGCAAACAATGGGTGTCAAAGCATAAGGTGCACAGGAGGCCCCAGTAATGAGGTTCTAGTGTGATCCTCTCCAAATTCTGCATGAGGTTTTTGGATGGTACTGCGAATATTCTGCAACGCAATGTTTTATAAAGGCAGCTGCTCACCACTGCAACATCAATGCGTTGATATTGACAGAATGAGATCAGCCTTTGCGAGGCCTGCCTGTAAGGAAGGGTTTGCAGGAGAGGGCAAATTATTCAAGTGGGAAGTATAAAGGGTGATGTTTTTTTCTAAATATAGATGTGACTCTCCGTAATGACACTTGTTCGAACAAACGTTTGCCTGTGTACACAGAGAGTTTGGAATGGGGAGGGGTTTTTTTTAAATTATTTTCTACTCCCAAGGCTAGCTTACATTTCGGTTGCCCATACACAGGAAATTAGCAACTTTAAACGATCTTTATTTAGCTCTTTTATTACTTTTCCCTGCCCACTGCAGACTGGTTGTTATTAAGCAATCGAGGATGTGCTACAATGATCATAAAGGGGCACAATTCTGGCATTGCAAATGAGAAGATGCTGCCAAGAAATAGGTCTCATTGACGCCTAGACTTTGAGGTCAGAAGGGACCACTGTGATCATCTACTCTGGCCTGCACATTGCAGGCCACAGAACCTCACCTAGTACTGAAATAGAGCCTTCATCTCTGGCTGAGTTACTGAAGCCCTCGTATAAAGGCTTCAAATACAGATACTGGTTGCCCCTCTAGAATCCAGGACACTGCTCCAGTATCATCCGTGGTCTGACAAGGACCATAGATGATGCTGGCCAGAGAGTCCCTGCAGTTTGGAATGGGGCCTGTTGGCAGCCCATCAGGAGGAGGGCTGGTGGATTGGCTACAGTGGGGCCTGTGTCAGGGGGACTGGTGATGGTTGGGAAGCCCCAGGCCGAGCTGGCTTTGGAAGGACTGGCGGGGGCCGAAGCCTCGAGCCAGACTGGCTGCAGAGGGGCCAGCGGTGGCTGAAGCCTCGGACTGGACTCGCTGGATCAGCTGCGAGGGAGCCCCAGTCAGGCCGGTGGCTGGTAGGCCAGGGCTGGGAAGCTGCAGCCGGAAGCCCCGGCCAGGCAGGAAGGTGCAGCCCCAGTGTAGGGCATGGGTGGGCAGTGGCTGTGAGCCCTACCAGACAGGGGCAGAGCCCACAATGGTGCTGATGGCCAGAAGGGGAGATTTGACCTCTCCTGGTCCAACAAACTCTCTGGTGCTGGACCAGGGAGGTCCAACCTGTACTTCTCCATTCACACTTGTTTGAACTTGCAAATGACCTGTGAGCCATGCTGCAGAGGAAGGCAAATGGTTCCAGGGTGTCTACCAATCTGACCTGGGGAAAATTCCTTTCCAACCCCAACTATGGCAATCGGTTAGCTTCGGAGCATGTGGACAAGACCTGCCAGGCCAATACCTGAGGAAGAATTTTCTGTAGTATCTCAGAAATCTTCATCTAGTGTTCCATCCCCAGCAGTTGGAGATTTTGGATATTGTCTACATGCCATTATAGACAGTCTCCTCTTACCATCCCCTCCATAGACTTATCAAGTCTAGTTTTGAAGGCAGTTAGGTTTTTTGCCGCCACTCCTCCCCTTGGCAGGATACCTGTTACCTTAGGCAAGCTGCTTCATTTCTCAATCCCACATTTTTTCATCAGTAAAATGAGAATAATGGGATGTCCCTACTGGAGAAGGTTGAGATTAAACACATGAAAGTTGGGCAGTGCTTAGTTACTTTGGCAATGGGGAGCGGATGAGTGCTGAGAAAGAAAGAGAGAGACCGAGAAAATGGGCCAAATGTTTACCCCGTTACACTGACGTAAACCAAGAATAATGTCATTGGTAGAAATGGATTTGCATTGCAGGAACTGAGATTAACCCAGTTGACTGGACTCTAACCCAATGATTCTAGAGCTGTGGTCACCAACCAGTAGATCGCGATCTACCAGTAGATCTCAGGGTCTCCAAGAGTAGCTCTTGAGCCCTCTCTGAACTGCACACCTGCGCAGTACATTTACATTAGATTTCCTCATGTAATGTATGCGGGGCTTCAAGGAAGGGGCGGGGCAGTAGATCTTTGCCTGTTCTGAGACTTAAAAAGTGACCTTGGGTATAAAAAGGTTGGAGACCACTGTTCTAGAGCAAGTTTGCTAAGTTAACATAGATGGCCCTCTGAGTTCTGGACAGGGGCTTGTGTCTAAAAGAGTGTTTGTACCATAGGAAGGCCACCGTCCTGGTGAGAGTGTTGCAAGCTTCCATAAGTTCATCTCAAGTCTCTCCATAGTTGGTATGCTTTTCTTAAAGCTACAGACACCGGAGTTTTGAAAATCTCAACTTTGTTTTTGTTTGTTTGTTTTTTAAGAAATACGCTCACAAGCTTGGAATTGTGGAGAAGTGCTAGAAGACATGACTCAAAACCCGGAAGGCCATGAAAAAGAACCCCAAAGGTATTTTTAAAATGCCGTAAATTTTGAGGCAAGCTATTGATTTTTGAGGGTCTGACTCATGGTTTTGCAAAGCTCAGTCAGTGTTATTGGCCCTGTAGTTTTCCCCGTTGGGTAATCTCCCTCAGTGAATAGCACCAATGGTGCAGAAATCTCCATCAAAGATGTGTAAAACAAGCTGTGAACTATTAGCCTCTTCCTTCATTTCCCACCCCCAGATCTTCGCAGTCCTTCTGTTTTGGTTTAGCTTTACCTTTGCTTTCACAGAGAGTGCTTTGCCCTGCCCTTATAACCCATGGCAGTCCCCAGGGATTATCAACAATTAGATAACTCTCTTTTACATTAAATGGAAGTTGAGTTATGAGCCACTTAAGTGACATGAAAATAAAACCCTTAGTTTAGCTGCAAAATCTGAAAAGAGGCTTAATTTTTTTTTTGATTTGGTACATCCAGGCTCTTATAACTCATTAGCATGATCCTCTGGAAGCTCTTCTGACCTGGTTTTCCATTTGCAGGGGATATGCACAAGTATAGCTTTCATTATACCACATCAAATGAGCCACACTGATGAGAGCGAGGTAGCGGCTTGTCAGGAGGATGATAATAAAGGCAAAATTGTCCCAGCAGATCTGCATGACAGAGCTTGATTACTGACACTCTGTTCTCCCTAATGCACAGATTTCCCTTTGACGTGCAATTGGAACAGCGTTATACCAGTCAAGACTTGCCCTGCAAATCTGAGTTTGCCCAAAATACATTAGCACACCGCTTGGGAGGCTTGGTTAAAAGTCTCAGACTAACTAACATGGACATTTTAAAACCGACTTATCCATGTTTAATTATTATGAACAAAAAGCCACATGCTTCTGCTGTGAGCACATGCCCCCAGAGAGGAACAAACTGGGGCAAATGTGAGTGCACACACAGAGGCATGGGTCTTGTGTCTTGTGCTTGTACCCCACAATTCAGAACCACCTACAGCCAACCCCCTGGCAATGCCTGCATAAAGAGAGGGCAGTGGTCAGATGGGGTAGTGTCATGGAATATGCTGCTCCATGTGAGTTGTCCCCAATAGAAAATAACAATTCCTGAGGTTGAAAGAATCTTCAGCAGCTGTAATTGACACAAGGCATTCAGAGCTCGATCCAATGCCTGCTGATATCAATAGACTGATTCCCATTGATTTCACTAGGCATTAAGTGAATAAGAGCCTCAGGCCAGGACTATGCTAAAGGGGAAGGTCAAATTAAGATACACAACTACAGCTCTGTTAATTACGTAGCTGGAGTCGACATAGCTTAATTTAAGTTTCCTTGCTGTCTCCACAGTAGGAGGCCAACAGGAACAAACATACCCATTGGCTTCCCTTACTCCTTGCAGAAGTAGGAGTACCCACCACCAATGGGGGCACCCTCTGCATTCAATTTAGCAGGTCTTTACTAGACCAGCTAAATCAAACTCCAGAAGATCAATCACAGCAGTGTTGATCTTCCCCCAGATGAAGATATGGCCGCCAACTGGAATAGGGATCACATAGAAATGCCAGGAGTGGGGCAACCAGGCCTATCAAAGAAACTGCTAGGGAAACAAAAGAGAACAAGAGTGGATTTAGGGGCAGGTGAGCCAGGCAACCACCTTTTGGGTGCTGGGCTTGGACTCAGGGTGCTGTTTTTGTTAGCAAACAAAAGAAAATACTGAATACCTGCAATATTTTACTTACAAAGTTTTAAGGAGTCAGAATTATAGGACTGAAAGGGAACATCCCAACTAGGTGTTTGTCTAACCTGCTCTTAAGCATCTTCAGTGGTGGAGATTCCACAACCTCCCTAGGCAATTTACTCCAGTATTTAACCACCGTGACAATTAGGAACAGAAGTGAAAGTAAGCAGGTACGCTCTGGTGTGCAGTTCTGGCAAGAGAAAGCTGAGCTGCTGCAAAAACCAGCAGGGAGCTATTTAAAGAGCTGGCAGGGACCTGGGTTGCAATAGGACAGCACCTGTAAGGCAGTTTAATTTACTTTTACCACTGGTTAGGAAGTTTTTCCTAATGTCCAACCTAAATTCACCTTGATGCAATTTAAGTTCATTGCTCCTCAGAGGTTAAGGACAACAATTTTTGTCCCTCCTCCTTATAACAACTTTTTATGTACCTGAGAACGGTTATGTCACCTCTCAGTATTCGTCCATACTAAACAAACCCATTTTTTTCAATTTTTCTTCAGATATCATGTTTTCTAGACCTTTAATCACTTTTGTTGTTCTTCTTGGGGACTTCCTCCAGTTTGTCTACATCTATCCTGAAATCTCTGGGGCCCAGAATGCAAGACAATATTCCAGTTAAGGCCTAATCAGTGCAGAGTAGAGTAGAAGAATTACTTCATGTGTCTCGACTACAATGTGCCTATTAATGGAGGGGTGGGGAACCTTTTTTGGGTTGGGGCTGCTGATTGAATGCCTGTTTGAACCTAGCATAAGCTGCACTGGTGCAAATCAATTTGCAGTGCTTTGCTAGGGCTGGTTGGAAAATGCAAAAGAGAATTGTGCAAAATCCATCCAAGTCTTTTCATCTGGCCGGTTTAGCCAAAAAGTTTATCAAAACAGTCTAGTCTCAATTTTTGTGTTATGTCAGCGTCTTCCCTCTTCTCCCATTTCTGTCTCCGTATCCCCTCACCCATTTGGCTCTTTTGTCACAGCAAAGGAAGGGTGGACGAGAGATGGGGGAAAGAAAAATCAAGGGGGAAACCCAGTAACATATCACAGCCCAAACAAAAGCTAAATCTTTTTTTACACTTTTGATGACAAAATGGAAATATAAAATACAAATTGGCAGAAGATTCCAGTATTGAGTGAGAAGAATATTCTCACCACAAAAGAACCCTTTAAAAGCTATTGACCAGTACTATGGGATGCATAGCATGTAGTGTGGCTGTCAATACACAGATGGCAGACCTATAAGAAGACTGCTGCCCATTCTGCATTTTCCCCAAGTCTGTAAACCACCAGATAGCAGCTCCATATGCTCTCTTCCCCTCGCCTCTCACAATTATTTGTCTAATGACACATGCTTACAAATGGGATTTTTTTCATTTAGTATTATTAGCTCTCCAATCAATATGTTTGTTCCATTCTTTTAACTGTTATGGTAGGCTAGTCTTGGCTTTATTGTTTTCTCTCCCTGTGTATTTATTAAAACATGAAATATTAAAGCTGAAAAATTAAATGTGAAAAAAAATGTTTTTGACAGAACCCTGACATTTTCAGTAATAAATGTGAATTTTTCATTGAATTTTCCAAAGGGGGGGAGGACCCTGTCCAGTCAGCTTTATTGAATGGACAGAAAAAAGAAATCATTTAATAAAGATAATGAACATTATTTACTGAGATACGATTTAGAAATAGGACTGAGACTCCACATTTCGTTTCTGATAGAGATTCTCACAGAGTCTGGGGGAAAGCTAAGAGAGATTTCTAATCACCATATTTATTAATGTATTTTTTAATGTATCCTGTGCAAGCAACAATATTCTGTAGACATATGTATACTTAACAATTTGTTTTAGAGGACGCTGTCAGCTTCAATTTGACCCATATTTTGAATAGGACTTTATAAACCTTTAGCCTAATCAAAGCAACTTTACAAGGAATCTTATAAATATTGTTGCTTTTCATATGAATCAAATTTCCCCTGCAACATGTGAAAACTCAGCTAGAACCTATAAATTTCAATTGGCTGAAACAATTTTCTTTCGCTATGTTAAGGGAAATTCAAGAAGTAAACAACAAGGTTAATGAGAAGTAAACAACAAGGTTTATTACTTGATCTCAGGCTATGTTCATTGGAAAAATAAGTGGTTTCCCATCAGGAAACTTGAGATCAATGTCTCAAAGAAAAATCCTAGTGGAGAGAAGAGACTGGTGCTTTTTATCTCAAGGTATGTCTATGCTTTGACCTGAGTCAATTACCGGCTAGAGGAAACAAAACCATACTAGCTCACCAAAAGCGGAGTGTAGGTTAGGCAATTCCAGCCAACCTGAATAAGTCCCCATCCAAGAACACAGGCTTTTGAGGAAGGCTAGCTCATGCTACTTCAGTTACACCTTCTTTTTTGCATGCTCACTCCATCCGAGCTAGCAGGGATACCTCTCTTCAGGCTGGGACTCACAACCACAGCATACACGGGGGCTACATCTACACTTCAGGCTTCTTGCACAATAACTTTTTGAGGAAGAGATTGCCTATAGCTTGTTACCTCAAGGTGCAAAGACACATCTTGCTTTGTAGCAAACACACAGCAATCGTGTTACCAGGCTCAGGGTACGTCTACACTGCACAGTTTTTCAAAATAAGCTATTAGTCTGAAATCTAGACAATTAAGGTATGTCTACATTACATGCTTATTTTGAAAAAAAAAAAAAACTATTCCAGAATAGTGAGTTTGAAATAGCTTATTTTGAAATAGCATGTCTACACTGCAGGAAAGCCTCAAAATTAGTCCAAGGCAGGCTTCCCTAATGTAAACATGCTATTTCAACTTAGAGCCCTAGGAGGGACTGGGGAGGAATAGCTTAGAATGGCCCTGGTGAGGGGCTATTTCAAAATAGCAGCAGTGGAGCGTCTACATACACCTTATTTCAAAATAACTATTTCAGAATAGGCGTTATTCCTCATGGAATGAGGTTTACAGAAGTCAGAATAAGCCGCCCGTTATTTCAAAATTATTTCAAAATAACAGAATGGCTGTGTAGATGCTCACATTTTTATTTAGAAATAACTCTAGTTATCTCGAAATAACGGTACAGTGTGTTGTACCTCGGTATCATACTTCAGTACCTTCAGTGGTCTGAACTATCAGTGTCAGCGTCATCTGGCCTGGGTCATCCTGGTGCGCTCCTGACAGGACCTCTACTCCGTTGGTGATGGTAAACTTTCGGTTGTGCGTGTAACAATCGGTGCTCCCTTTATGTAACGTGTTAGACCCCGGGCACTTGGGTCAACACGAGAGATCTCTGAAAGCTCCCAGAAATGACAGATGCAGGCAAGGTTTGAAATCAACTGAGCAGGTTTATTGTCAAATGTGAAGCTCTAACAGTTGGTAACAGAGATCCTACAATGTTACACCACTGTGCACTATGGCCCACGTTGACAAGGCACCAACACCGGGCAGGCCTATTGCCACATAACAGATATAACAGCAGTCAGTCAGAGTTAGGCTACTGTGCATTCTGTAAGTTTAGGCAATGACACTTGCCATTCAGGTGCCTAGTGTGCCCCCACCTACCCCAAGGTTGGCCGAAGAGCACCCTTTGCGGTGTCCTTTTATAGACAGGTACAAACAACTTACATCACTTCTTTACATACCAGCTTGCCACCCTCTCTTGCCTAGATACCACCCCTCACCTTACAGAAGGGGGGCTTACTTACTATCCTTCATGCTGTCAATTCCAACCTGGTCCTGAGTCTAGGTTGGTATGTACATTAGTTTTTGGGGAGTCTTTGTACCAAGACATTTCTTATTAAGATGTTCTGCTACTCCCCTTTAGCTTACAGTTTGTACCCAGTGCCTCCCTGTGTCCTTCCATGCTCCACCCAACTTACACAATTACACCATTATCAGTAGGGCCTTTTTCTTGACTCCTGTGTTCCTGAACCAAAGTCTTACTTACTAGATTCTAGGCCTGTTGCTACTTTCATGTTACAGGCCTCTATTCAGGCCTGCTGACTCCATGTTACTGACCCTCAACTTACCACACAGTGTAGACGCACCCTCAGTTTCAGAGCACCCCCTCACATCAAGATTAGCTTTTCAGTGCTCTGCCTTTGTATCCCCACAACAAACTCCAGCTTAACCACAGAGGTGACTTGTGCTCCAGTTAAGTCATTAAACAACAACCACTTCTTCTAGGAAAGTCCAAAACAAACAAATCCAAAATTTTGGCCCCAGTTTCCAACTGAGTCTACTACTTCAACCCAGGGTATCTGTCTTATCTAATTCAAGCATTCTTCTGCACATTTTAACTTAGCTTTCACTCTTCTCAGGCTCCTTTCTGTTAGAATAATTTCCCTGTACCCTCTCTCTTGGTTCTTGCTACACAGACCGAAACCAGAAGGCCAAAGTGCAAGCAATGTGATGTTTGTTGGAATTAGTTTCCAGCAAACATGTGTCCCATAACTCTGACGCAGCAAGGACTTCTTTCCCAGTTTTCCATCTCCCATTGTGAGAGTCCCTTGGTACCCCGCATGGGGTCTGGGTTCCCCATCCCCACCCCCCGCGTTTCTCCGTGAACCCATACCCAAGTTTGGATGCCTTTCAGTCCCTTTGACGCATGTTCCGGCGTTTTCCAATGTTCGAAAATGCTAGTGCTCCCCTCCAAGTCTTCAGAACCAAGTCTCTTGTTTGATTGACTGCTTTCCCTGGGGGAAGTTAGGGCCCCCGGGCCCACCCGCTCCATCGGGCCCCAACCCAGGACCCTGTCGACAATGGACGATCCCACTTTCAGGAGTTGGTGGGATCCTATCCAAAACACACCAACCCTACCGTGGGCCTACCAGCCCTGTTCTGCATCCCTTCCTACTTCCACCCAACTACCTATTTGTGGGTACTGTCCACCAAAAGGTCCCTCTGTTTGCAGCGTGGACTTATCTGTAATGATGGATTGTCTTAAAATTGTCCTTTGGTCGGGGGCAGATATTTCTCTGGATTTTTAGTGTTTTACCTTCCACTCCCAAGTCCCTTTGTCTCCCTCCCCCACCCAGACATGTTCTTATAACCCTACCTCAATGCTAAGCCACGGAACCAAAGAACCGCCACACTGGGTCAGACCAGAGGTCCATCTATTTCAGTATCCTGTCTGCCGACAGTGTCTAATACCAGATGACTCAGACAGAGGGAACACAACAGGGAATCATCATGTGATCCCTCCCCTGTCATCCACCTTTAGACAAACAGAGGCTAGGGACATCATTCCTACCTATTCTGGGTAATAGCCAATAGACCTAACCTCCATGAATCTATCTAGCTCTTTTTTGAACCATGTTAAAGTCCTAGACTTCACCACATCCTCTGGCAAGGAGTTCCACCTGCTGATTGTGTGCTGAGTGAAGAAAAATTGCCTTTTGTTTCTTTTAAACCTGCTGCCTATTAATTTCATTTGGTGACCCCTAGTTCTTGTACTGTGGGAATAAGTAAATAACTATCCTTATTCACTTTTTCAACTCCAGTCATGATATTATAGACTTCTATCCTATCCTCTCTTAGGGTATGTCTACACTCCCCCCCTACTTCGAACTAGGGGGGTAATGTATGCATATCGAACTTGCTAATGAAGCCCGGGAAATTCAAATCCCGGGCTTCATTAGCATAAAGCCGGCGCCGCCATTTTTAAAAGCCGGCTAGTGCGAACCCCGTGCCGCGTGTAGCCCCGCGGCACGGGGTTCGCACTAGCCGGCTTTTAAAAATGGCGGCGCCGGCTTTATGCTAATGAAGCCCGGGAAATTCAAATCCCGGGCTTCATTAGCAAGTTCGGTATGCATACATTCCCCCCCTAGTTCGAACTAGGGGGGTAGTGTAGACATACCCTTTGTCTTCTCTTATCTAAGATGAAAAGTTCCAGCCTTTTTAATCTCTCTTCATATGGAACCCGTTCCGAACCCTGAATCATTTTTGTTGCCCTAAAATTTATCAAATTTCTGACACAACAAAACTGAACACTCTTGCCCCAACCCTTCTCCAAGGCCACATCCCGCTTACTCCATCCCCCCTCCATCCATTCCTCAGTCTTTCCCACCCTCAAACAGGGTGCATCTACACTGCACCATTTTTCTGGAATAACAGCTGTTATTCTGGAAAAACGATACTAGTGTCCACACTGCAATTGTGTTATTTCAACAGAAAGTTGAAATAATTGATGGCTTTTTCCGACATGGGTAAACCTTATTCCACGAGGAATAAGCCCTTTTCTGGAAAAGATTTTTTGGAAGAGGTTGTGTGTAGACGCTCCACTGCTGCTATATCAAAATAGCCCCTCACCAGGGCCATTCTAAGCTATTCCTCCCCAGTGTCTCCTGGGGCTCTAAGTTGAGATAGCATGTTTACATTAGGGAAGCCTGCCTTGGACTAATTTTGAAGCTTCCCTGCAGTGTGGACACTCTATTTTGATATAAAATTTTCCGGAAGATATCTTCCAGAAAAGCTTATTCCAAAAGAAGCTTGCAGTGTAGAAGTACCCCCACTCATTTTCTCCAGGCTGGGAAGGTCTCTTTTGAACCAGGTGTTCGAAACCAGATGGCTATAATGATGACCCTCTCTTTAGTTAGGAGTTGATTATGTCTTTAAGTGTGTGCTCATGTATTACTCTTCCACCATACCCAATAACACTTTTCCTGCTCTTATCCATTCCCATTATCCCATCTGGCTTGGGCAACATCAGAATGGGCTTCATGTCTGTCTTTGTCCTTAGTCCTTTGCCCTTCCCACTGATCACACATATTAGTAAAAACTAAGATAGATAGATAGAATTTTGAGTTTTGCTTGCCTGTTTGATTCGATCTCAAGGCAAAAAATACAGGTTTGTATTTTTCATGGCCACTAGGACTCCTAACTCTTTCCATTTCCCCTCAGCTACATCAGGGTTCCATTGAGTTACTCTCTACTGTCTCCTGAGCATCCACTCCCTGGTCTTCTTACCAGATATCTCCAACAGGCCTGTGTTGTTTTATGGTTCCACCCAGTGGTCTGCTCTCCAAACAGGCTTCCGCTGCTGTGGTTCTTTCCTTCCTCTGAAATCCAGTGCCAAGCATGGGCTTGGCAGGATGAGGGCAGCTGAGTAGGGCTGGCTGGCCCCAAGAATGGTCCCTGTTATATTCAGCTGTTAAGGCATAATGCAGCTTGATTTCTCTCAAATCCAGGACCCAAAAATAGAGTGCCATGTAATTTAAATCAGGATAATTTAGATGTGAGAATTAAGCTCAGGATCATCTCTTGTACAAAAGAAGTGGTGATTATTTCCTGTGTCTTTCAGCTGTACACCACCACCTAACAATGAGTACCTTTTTGTCCCATCTCAGAAGAAAACATTCTTGTATTGATGGGAAAGCATGGAGAGGAAATACATTTTTTTTCTGATTTCCTAATTGTAAAAGGTGTTGATATCATCTGTGCAGTGTGGAGTGCAAAAATTCACTTGTCTGGAATATTCCATATTGTTTATGACTTGCATAGGATTTTTTAAAGATTTTATGTATGCATTTGTTATATTTCTGACAGCATGCTGGGACTAAAAATGGCTGAAAAAGTACTCTGGTCACTTAAACATCAATTCCAGCACAGAGAACATAAGAACCACCATACTGGGTCAGACCAAAGGTCCAAAGATGATGGGAGGAGCTATGTATATAAATGTCATGTTCATATTTAAAAATGAAAGGTCTCCGAATAGTCTGGGATAGAAGGCAAGACCTCACTTCTGTCTTCTATATCTACACAATCTTCTTAATAGGAGGTTTAATTTAATTCAAAAGGTTTCATTTATAAAAACTGTTATTTTTTCTTAGTTTAGAAATATCTGGCAACTCAAATCTAATCTTCCCTGGCTTTGCTGAAGGACTCAGTATCATGAGCACCTTACCCGAATGATTAGGTATGTTGGATCTTTAAAAAAGGTTTATTTTATCCAAAATGTGTATGAGACATTAAATGTTAATAGGAGTAAGCTAAAAATAAAACAGAAAACAAAGTGTTAGAGTTTGTCTAAAAAATTGCTTCCTTTATGGGTAGATCAGCTTTTACTTTCATGGCTCTTGGGTTGCCAACATTACACTAATTCTCCAGGTACTAGAGTCTTCCAGCGTAGCCAGGACCTGAATTTCTGGTATTTAAAAATAGGTTTAAAAAAACACTTTCAGGCTCTCTCTATCCATCATAAAGAGGTAAAAGGAGGCAAAAGACCTACAGAACAGTTTTTCAGTAAACTTTCTTGCCAACATATTCATTATTCTAGACATTTGCAAAAAAAAGAACTAAAAAGGAGCACAAATACAGTGGATATATTTAAAATTCAAAGACATATAAGTGAAAAATATGTTGCAGTATTCACCCAGCTCTTCTCTGTAAAGTGTTACCTGCAGAAATCACTATAATCAAAGGCCAGCAGAGTGGCTGACTCACACCGTTGTCTCGATTTGTAGATCTGGTACAGTAGGAATCAATTTTTTTAAAAATCTTTTTATTCTCTTTTTTGGGCTCAAAAGTAAGACTCCAGTTTTTCATTCCCTAAAACTACCAACAGATAACACAGAGGCAGAATTAAATGGAAGGGGGAGGTAAGCCAAAATTTCTTTGCAGTAACACAGTCAAAGGTGAATGTTTGCTATTGTCAGGTTGTCAAGGTTTATCTATGGGGTATTTTCACTCCAAGTTCAAAAACTCTTATGCAGAGCAGCATGTGACGAATTGATTTTCCTTGCAACTGCTCTTTGAATAAATGAAAAGTCAAGGCCACAGTAAAGGCATCCTTACCCGCTTTATCGCCTCTTCTTTAATCAGTTCTGTCGCTGCATTATCTGCTCAAAAGTGTCTGCTTTTCATTCTATCAGTTCTTCTTTGGGAAATCTATCACTAACTCTGACTTTTTGTCAGGAACTCTAATTGCTGCCACTGAGCCCTGTTTCCTCTTTTATATAACACTTTTATGAGAGAGGGAAGAGCAGATTTTTGAACTGATTAAATTAAACACTTCCATATTTCCCTACTCGTCATAATTTTAACTAAGAGTTCATCAAGTCAATCTTTGGCAAGAGAACTACAATGCTCAATTGGATCGTGCCGTTAACATGGAATAGTCACATGACTGAATTAAAGCTGAGTAAATTAGGTAGACTAAAATGTAGACTGTCTTTTTATTGTCTCTCATCCATCTCACCCTTAAATGTGTGTTTTTCAAGGCTGCTCATTTAACTCCCATCAATATTTCTCTTCATGTGCAGCAGGAAAATTATCTGGCAGATTTGTAAAAATCCTCAGCAGGGGGGTTAATTTTTAGTTTAACAAAAAGCCTAACAAAGTCTGCTGGTGGCATCTAATATAGACATTCCTTAATATAGTTACTGTGCACAGGAGGTGGTGGCACTGAATCAGCAGGGGGCATTCCTTACTACTGGAAAGCACTCAGCCACTCATGTCAGGGGTACTGTGCTGATGAAGGTGGTATCCCTTGGAGATGTAAAATTCCAGTCTTCATACTTCATCTGATCCATTTTTTCCCCAAAACATATGGGTGGGGGGCATTTTGACTGGAAATGTTTCACTTTTCTGCCCCCAAATAATTTGATTTTCAGGTTTGGGGTTTTTTTTGTTTGGTTGGTTGGTTTTATTTAGGAAAGCGAATACTTCCTGTGGGAAAAAAATTAAACAGAATTTTCCATAAACAATTCTCTTGTGGGAAATTTTTCTGCTAGCCTATTATCTTCATCCTGAGTACCTAAATACCTTTGCATTTTTAGCTGGATATTGTATTCTTCTCTTCTCCCACACCTAAACTATTGCCAATAATGATGGCCCTGTTAAAAAGCTTCCTCTTCGCTTTGAAAAATGCATCTGTATTTCTATTTCCAATATTTTCCGCTTTATATAGTTTTCAAATGACTTTGGGCCCTGTAGGAATTCTAAGCTATAAAAAATCATCATCACTGTAGATCACTGAAGTGTTGTACAAAACATATTAAATGGGCCCAATCCTCACAGGAGGCATTCGACATCTTCACACGATCAACCCGTAAAATATCACATTTACTATACATACTAGCATTATACAGCAGTCATACAATGATGTAAAACACCTTGTTCTCTGTTGCAATGCATAAATACCATATAACTTTAATAGCAACATTTTTTAATACGCAATATTCCAATTTTTCTTCAATGTCTAGAAAACACATTTTTTGCCTCTTTATTGAACAAAATAATATACTACACATGTATAGGCAAATAGATATTTTCTAAAATACCCAGTTCTTATGTATATATTGTTTACTATATGCTTGAAAAATTCATGTCAATATTTGCTACATGAAATGAAGAAGAAAACCTGTTAAAATATTAGAGGGTATTCCCATTTGAGATACAGAACAAGTTGTAATAAGCAGCTTAATGCCAGTTTGCAACATAGACTGCAATGCACTTAAAAAGTTTCAGAATTGATGTTTTGTACATAAATAGAAGTCACTGTATCAAAGAGGAAGGTCTGCATGTATCATTCTTCAGAATCTTCCTTCTTTAATTTTGTGCAATTCCAGCTTTACAAAAAACTAATAAAGCTTGTTGAGCTTAGGCAAAACACCTAGTTAAAAACAGTCAAGGTTGCTAAGGGCTGGTAAGCACTTAAAAAGTTTCAGAATTGATGTTTTGTACATAAATAGAAGTCACTGTATCAAAGAGGAAGGTCTGCATGTATCATTCTTCAGAATCTTCCTTCTTTAATTTTGTGCAATTCCAGCTTTACAAAAAACTAATAAAGCTTGTTGAGCTTAGGCAAAACACCTAGTTAAAAACAGTCAAGGTTGCTAAGGGCTGGTAACAA